ACGACATTCTTTTTCTCTCCTGTTCTGCTTCCTATTTCTTATGATGCCATAGAAGGCATCATGGGGCCTTCACACCCCACGCTCTAGACTAGCTCTGTCCAGTAGACCACTGGGATGGTGGAAATGCTCTAACCGCACAGCCCCGGGACAGAAACCACTAGCTCTTCGTGGCTACTGGGCACTTGAAACATGGCTGATGAAACTGAGGAATTGAAATTTTAACTAATTGAAATTTAGGTGGCAAAAGCCACATGAGGTTACCATCTCAGACCCTATTTCCATATTTAACCTCAGAGTCAGCGGATTCAAGACAGCTACTAACACACACTAACTTCGGTCTATCTTCAGGAAACAATGTCAGAAAGGCATCCTGGCATCTTTTTTTTTTAATTTCTTTTTTTTACATTTATTGATTTTTGAGAGACAGAGACAGCGTGAGCCGGAGGGGGGGGGGGTGCAGAGAGAGAGGAAGACACAGAATCTGAAACGGGCTCCAGGCTCCGAGCTGTCAGCACAGAGCCCGACGTGGGGCTCGAACTCACGGACCGTGAGATCATGACCTGAGCCGAAGTCGGACGCTTAACCGACTGAGCCACCCAGGCGCCCTGCGTCTTTTATTTAGAGTGACAGTGATATACACTGACTCAAATCTATCTTAACTAATCCATTTGTCTGGAACAAGTTGCCCCGCCAGAGCATGGGATGACCCTCAAGACATCTCATCAAGAATATCAAATATATCACTAAGCTTTCCATTACACAAGCATTAAAATGCAGCTAGTCCTTCCCTTTTCCTCTAAATCACCATCCACTGGAACCCACTCAGTTCACATTCAGTAACTATTTTCTATTTGCAGGGTTCTGGAATAAGTATTGAGGATGAAAAATAAAGAAGCCGACGTCTCTTGTCCTCAAAAGGCTTATTAGTAGTAGTAGGAACAAGGATGAGCAAATTCAATCAGAGCTTTGGGGGTGTGGTTAAAGGGACTGTCTGGCGGGGGGCACCGCACAAAATAAGGCATGCAGGGATCAGGATATAAGGGTCAGTCCCTGGCATTTTATTTTCAGTTTAGAAAGTTTGCAATGCTGGCAGCATGGAGGGAAGAGGGAATAGGACAGCAGGACCGTTAGGGGCTGAAGCACTGTCAGGGGGCAGGGAAGATACGAATAAGCCTGGACCGGGGGGCGGGGACAGTAGGACTTCAGGGAGGAAGACCAATCTGGGAGATGTTTCAGAAGCAGCAGACCCATCTTGTGGAGAGAAAAATAAAGGAGGAGTCTGGAATGACTCCCAAGTTTCTGTTTTGGTGATGGATGAACAATGGTATCTTGCAAAATCTCTTACACACGAGGAGACAGTGTAGAGGGGGAAGAGTATGAGTGCCTGGGGAACTTTCAGACCTAAAGATTTTGTTCTGCAGATGGGTGGAAAGCGTGTGTGTGTGTGTGTGTGTGTCTGCATGTGTGCACATGCATGCACGTGTACGTGTATCGAGAAATAGAGACTGATTGATCGATGTCCCCTCCAGAACAGTGTTCTCAGCTCTCAACAAGGAGCAATTCTGCCCTTCAGGGGACATCAGGCAACGTCCAGAGATGTTTCATCTGAACGGAGTGCTATTACATCTAGTAGGTAGAGCCGAGGATGCCGCAAAACATCCCACGCTGCACAACAAAGACTTGTCCCGCCCAAATGTCCACAGTACTGAGGCTGGGGAACGTCGTGCTACAACACAAATCGGACAGCTGAATGAATGCCAACCCTGGGCCGAGACATCCCCGAATTAGATCTCACATCTACCACCCAGTTGCTGCGTGACATTGAAAATGTGATTTCTCTTCCATGACCCTCAGTTTCTATAGGAGGAAAATCAGAGACAACGTCACTGTTACAAATATTACATGAAATTATGCACATAAAATTGTTGGACTCAAAAGAGGTATTTATCAAATGTCTCCTTTCTTTTCCTTATATTTAAAAACCATGGGCACTGGGGTGGCTCAGTCAGTTAAGCGTTCGACTCTTGATTTTGGCTCAGCTCATGATCTCACGGTCATGAGATCGAGCCTGGCATCCATGTTGGGCATGGAGACTGCTCAGGATTCGCCATCTCTCTCCCTCTCTCTCTCTCCTCTGCCCCTCCTCCACGCATACATGCACACACATACACTCTCTCTCTCAAAAACAAATAAATAAATAAAAATAAAGCATCATTAACTTTTTTCTGTGGTTGTGTGTTCGCCTGTAGAAACTAGTCCTGGCACAGAAGTCTACAGTGAGGCTGGTGCAACTCCCCCGAAGCCTCCTGTGCTCTCCTAAACACACCTTTCCCTGTCGTGATGCCGACCATCAGGACCTTGTCAACTTCATTCTACTGTCACTGCCAGGTCTCTTTTCTGCGTCACATGCTGGTGGCAGGAGGCTCAGCCTAGGTCCCCCTGTCCTCTCAGCCCACACGCTCTCTGGAGATTCTTCCATGGACTCCCCTGGCTTTCCGTGTCATCTATTTGCAAACTTCTGGGTGATAGAAACAGCCGGCTGTCTCCTGCGTACCCAACCCATCCTCTTATTTACAACGGAATCCTGATTTTATTCAGATTGGCAATATACTCAAATTTTAACCTGTTTCTGAGCCTCCTTTGGCGATGGGCATGAGCTTCCAGAAAACCCCCGTTGTCCCTCTTGTCCTTCTTCCCCAGCACACTTCCCATCTGGGACACAGTAAGACGGCTGGATCTTTGGAAAGCATCTCTGAACAGAACACCAGCTTAGTGGCTGAAACTCCTTAATAAGATTTATGGAGAAGAAAGGAGGAGTTTGGGGTCTTGATGAACTGAGCCACTAAGCCAGCTCTAAGTTCCTACCCTCGGGCATTTTTCAATGTGGGCGAACAGTGTAAGCCTCCCTTTTGTTTAAATTGTTACGTTCACCTTTGTCACTAATAGCCAATCGCGATTTGTCATTGATAAAGGCTCTCAGTTGTAGAACTACAGTCTGAAACATCCAGACTTACAGATTTTTACATGAAATACACCCCAGACACAAAATATGGACAACAGGAAGCTCTTCCTTTCTTCCTGAAGACATGCTTCTCTGCAGTCTCCCCGTCGTGGCAAACTCTGCCCATCTTCTTTACCTTAGTTCGACCAGCAACGCCACGACATCTCATTCCTCATCCGAAGTTCATCCTGTACTGTCCAGTATCTCTTTGTTGCCCCTTGTACAACCTTGTCCAAGCCATCATTCCCTTCTCTGGACTACTGTGACAGCCCCTCACCATTTCCACTTCTGCAATCTCCATGGAGAAGCCGGAATGATTTCAACAAACACATGGGTTTATTACATCATCTCCTGGCTCACAGCCCTTCAGGGGGCCTTTGCTCTGTAGGTACCAGCCCTAACTGACGGGAGCTCCCCAAATATACATCCAAGACCTCCTCTCCAACGGCTCACCCTCTGCCATGACCCAGACATATTAGAGGTGCTTTGTCTGCTTAAACGCTAAAAACTCTTACTCAGCATGTGCTGGTGTATTTGTTCTAGCCATCCTCCTTCCAGAAATATTCCCCCCTCTGATCTTTGTGTGCCCAGCTCCTACTTGTTAACCAGAACTGAGCTGAAATGTTATCTCCTCTGGGAGCACTCCCTGACCTTTTGTCTAAAATAGTCACCAGTTACTTCCTATTCGATATCCTATTTTATTTTTTAAAAAAAAATTTTTTTCAACGTTTATTTATTTTTGGGACAGAGAGAGACAGAGCATGAACGGGGGAGGGGCAGAGAGAGAGGGAGACACAGAATCGGAAACAGGCTCCAGGCTCCGAGCCATCAGCCCAGAGCCTGACGCGGGGCTCGAACTCCCGGACCGCGAGATCGTGACCTGGCTGAAGTCGGACGCTCAACCGACTGCGCCACCCAGGCGCCCCTCGATATCCTATTTTAATTTCCTGCCCAACACTCATTAATTGATACCTTATTTATTTATTTAACTTCTTTAATATTTGTATTTCTCCCCTGAACGTAAGCTCCATCATGTTGGGGACTCTGTCTCCCACCTTGGCCCATGGGTCCCTAGCTTCTAGAAAGGGGCTATCACTCCGATGGCACCACACAAATAAAGGGTTTTGGGTGAAAGGCATGAGCGTCATCGGCCATCACTTTAGCCCTCCCTCTGCCTCTCTGAATCAGTAGTTAAACAGGTGGGGCTCTCAAGTGCCTTCTCCCAGCGAGATCTCAAGTTTTTAGGCCTATGGCAGTCCTTTGTGCTCGTGTGAGCCCTGAGCACATCACATAGTCCCTGAACCCCACCTGCTTCTACAACCCGGCCACACACGGCTCACCACTGCCCAACCCAAGCACGCCTGGCTCCCTCATGCTCCTCCCGTCCTCACACGCTGTCCTCACTGCCCGGGCTGTCCTTCTCTCTCCATCCCACATGTAGTCTCCCCACTTGTCCTTCAAAACTCATTTCCAACATCAGCCAAACCTCCCCACCTGCCTGCAGCAAGGCACTCACTGGCTTCTTTCATTCAAATGACACTTGGCATAGACTCATGTTTTTTCTCACCACAGTGATTATGCACCTTTTTCACATGCTTGTCTACTTCTCTAGTCTGATTGTAAGCTCTGTGACAGCGGAGACCACGCCCCACCCATTTCTGTTCCCCTCACCTTCTGTAACAATCTTTGTCACATGGTCTCAATACCTCCTGTGGAATGTTCTCAGATGCTGATGCTCTGGTTATTTTTATAGGTGTTCATGGAGAGAATGGTAGTCTTTTTTTCCCTAAATATATCATCAGTGATTATTTTAACAGTATCTTATTTATCCAAGTCTAGTTTTCTGACATATCCATTTACCCCCAAATTCATTTTTCCCCCTGCCTTAGAGGTTCCATTTCCAGGTTAAGGATGGTGAGTGAGGGAAAGAGACAGAGTTGCTCTTTATTTTTCTTTATTTATTCCTTCCTTCCTTCCTTTTTTCTTTCTTTCTGCCATAAAACTCAGAATGAATGACGATTCCATGAGGTACAGATGAGAAAAATGAATCACGTATGCTTCACGGGAAGTGACTTCATCATTTCCAACAAGTGGCCATGGAAGTAGAGTTTGCCATCACTGGCTGAAAAGATGTCTGTCACAAAAGAGAGCTGCGCCCAACTGAGGCCACCAGGCCACATCTCAGAGCCTTCTCTTCCCCATACTTGAGGACCCCCACTTCCGAGGCCAGATGACTTCAGGGTTATATTGTCTGACCCCCTCAGGAACAGAGAAGGTGCCCAAGGAGGGGGAGAGGACCCACTAAAGTTCATTAGAATTGAAGTTATGTAGGATGATTGGCTGGCTCAGTATATCTGTGGTGGGTTCTGAACCAGATCTCAGCCCCCTATGCCCTCCAGTGCCCTTCCCACGGCACCGGCCCACTTCCTCATCCTCTAAGAGTCACGTCTCCATAGCTTCCTGCACTTCCTTGCTCAACAGCCTCACCGAACCTCTACTAGAGTGTGGGTTACTCCTCCAGTGTTCCTTCTTCCATGCTAGACTGTAAGCTCTCCAAGAATAGAAATGGTATGTATTCTTCTCTGTATCCTTCATTTCTAGCACATTGTCTGTCTCGAGAAGACATTCAAAGACTATCTGTTGGATGCAAGCAGAAACAATAAATAAGGCTCATCGTCTCTCTCTCTCTTTCCCTTTCCTAATAGAAGACTCAAATTTCCTATAAATTCCCACACAGAAGAATGTGTAAAAGCTTGAGCATCCCAGGGACTGTCCAAAGATCTCCAGCTATAACCTTCTATTTAACTAGGACTGTTACTATTATTATCTATATACAGTGTGCCTGAGGTCCTAAGAACAGAGAGATACTCTTTGGAAGCCAGAAGCCACCTGAGAAAACCACCATTTTGGTGACTTTTCTCCAAATGTACCCAAAGGCCTGGGTTCCTGTCATGTGATGTTTTTCCCTCCTTCTTAAGGGAAGAGAGGATATGAATAAAGATCACTATTCTCAAGCAAGGCAGACCAAATTCACAAGGATCTTTCCCATAAAATATCTGCATATCTGAACGAAGGAAAAAGGAGTACTGTTCTAATTTTTTAATTTCTTTGAAGTACATCTTTTTTGTATAAAGAAATTTGCTCTTTGATTCCAAATAAGGCACAAGTAAGTAGAAGAAAGATTTCTCCATGAACCCACAATTCCCACCCTGGGAAGGTGGAATTATGGTGCCCCAGAGATGTCCACATCCTAATCCGCAGAGCCCATGAATATGTTACCTTACATCACAAAAGGGACTCTGTGGATGGGATTGGAGTTAAGGACCTTGAGATGGAGAGATTATCCTGGAATATCCAGATGGGCTTGATGTAGTCACAATACTCCTCCAAAGCAAACAGCCTTTCTTGGATGTGACCAGAAGACAGCAATGTGGCTGGCTCTGAAGATGGAAAAAGGGGACGTGCATGAAGGAATGCAGGCGGCCTCTATAAACCCCAAAAGGCAAAAAGATGCATCCTCTCCTAGAGCCTTCAGAAAGGAATACGGTCCTCCTGACATCAGGTCAGTGAGACCCATGTCAGACTTCTAAACAGCAGCTGGGTGATATGTCTGTGTCATTTTAAAATTATTTGCTATGGCACAAAACAGAAAACTGATACAGGGCAGTAATAAAGAGTCAAGGAAGCCCTTCTCAGTGCTGGAGGGATGGAATAACCTGTTTGAGCAGGCGCTTTCTGGGCTATTAGGCTCAGGACAAGCCCCTGGTGTGCCTCAGACCACCAATTCCTAGCTAAGAATGATTGCACTGTGTCCAGATGCTTCTCTCTTCAGACAGCAGACTGAACGTGGGGTGGGGCCATCCGATTAAGGACATGGGGCAGGGATCTCACCCACCTCTCTGCCTTGTTCAGTGCCGATAGGCATAGAGAAATGTATCTTCGTGAATGAAAGCAATTTGGACACTACAGGAGACCTATAATAAGGGGAGCATAAAAGTCTTAGATCTTTATCATATGATGAGCAGAAAAAGGGAGGTTTTCTCACTAGCCTATCTGGTCTCAGAAGTCAACAAATTAGAATTCTGAAAAGGTGCATGTTTTGCCTGGGGTCATCTAGTAAACTAGGGAGAAAAAGAGGCCAGGGGCACAATTCTTGACCCTTTGCTACCTGCATTATATCAGCCTGCAGTAAGAACTGGAAAATCCACTATAGAGGTAGAAGGGAGGCCCAAAGCCCAGACTCCTTAGAGCATAAACTAGTAATTTGAGCACAGCAACCTAATGCAAGAAAAGGTGCATGCAGTGACCATGTGCAGAAGCTGTTGATGAACTCACAGATGGCCCCTCCATTGTGTGATTTCATCCTGCACTCCCCGTGGGGACAGAGCCCCTTTCTCTGGAGAGGAAAACTATGCCCAACGTATGGATGAGTTATCCATGCAGTTCATGCCATCATTCTCTGAAAAGGCAGAGCACTGGAACGGAAAAGAACAGAGGCTTGAAATTTGGAAGGAGTATTTGGAGCTTGACTTGACACCACAGGAGAGAGCTGGAAGCGAGCCTTGGCCAGGAACTTGACCTGTGGAATCCTCAGTTTGCTCCTTATGAAACAGGGATAATAATGCACGCTTTGCAAAGTGACTGTAAGGATTTATTCACTCAGTAAACTATGAAATGAAATTATACATATGCACGGAATGTCCTACAGCCAATATTCCATAAAAGGTTTCTCACCTGGCCCTTTATAGATTTTCCCCTAACATCAGAAAAGAAAGCTTGATGAAACACGTGTTGTCTAAGAAAAGGCTTGTATTTGTGCTGTGCAAATTCCAAGGATCAGTGGCCCTGGCCCCCAAAGGGATGGGCCTGACGCCAGTTTGTACAGGGTCTTAGTCTGTTTCTCTCCCTTTCCCGAATCCCTGTTCACAGTGATTGTGGACTCACAGCGCCATCTCGTGGGAAACTGTGGACTTTCCTTTTCTTTTGCCCAACTAGAAAATCCAGCAAACACCTCATCTCTGCCAGACACACAGCCTACAAAGACCTAAAACACCTTTCCTGACTTTACTTAAAAATAAGCAAAATGCCTAGCTGAGGACATGTGCATGGCCACAACTAAGAAAAGGAAAAGGAGAAGCCCATTTAGCCTGCCCGGCGAGATCCCAGGCTGTGTTCCCCGGGGAGCAGGGAGAAGGAGCCTCGGGGAATACCTGGAGAGGACTCCTGGAGGAGAAGGCAGAGCCTTCTCAGAGAAGAACGAGCCACGGGTGCCATCCATTGAACACACCTGGGCTGCATGCTCTTCTAGATGCTCTACGTGTACCAACTCATTTAACCTTCCCAAACACTGAGCACCGCAGGAAAGCTGCTCTCCAACTCCAGGAGGTCTGAATCCAAGTTCTTAACTACTCAGCGATGACTGCTGGTTACTGCTAGCTACCAGTCAGTCGCCTGCAGTTTAAGTCAGAGAGAGGCAGCGGCTGAGACGGGCTGTAGTCCACATTCCCCGACTCCAGATTCCCAGCTTCCATATCAAGAAAATGCCTTTTGTTCAACTAAGCCACGGCCAACGGACAGGATATTTATAAACCAAGTTGTAATAGCAAGCAGGTGAGGCAGTGGTGGCGGGGGCGGGCTGGGATCAGGGTGAGCGAACATTCCAGGGGAAGGAAGGAATATGGAAAGTGCATGGCTCCGAAGTGAAGGGCAACTGAGAGGAAGGGTGGTTGTGTCACTGTGTCCCAAGAGGAGGGTGTGGGGGACAGCAGGAGGCCTGTGTTCATTGTGTCGAAGGTCAGGCCATCAGGGAGGAGAGAGCCCTGGACACTGAAAAGGATATTCAAGGTTGCATGTAGCCTCTTCATTGTCTGAGTTCTGTGACATAGGGTAAGTCACCCTTATAAACTGGGCATCATAATGCAACCTCACACAGGGGCTTTCTGACATAGGGAATATCTTGGTGGCTTCCAGGAACAGCAGCGGGGGCGGGTTCAGAAGAAGAGGCAGGGAGAGGCAGGGGAGCCAGAATAGGTAGCCACTTGTGCACCAATGTAAGGGTCTTATTCTGAATGTGACAGAAAGCCATCAGAGGTCGGGCAGAGGAGTGACATGCTGTGACTTAGGTTTTCAAAAGGACTGCACATGGGGGCACCCCGTTGGTTAAGTGCCCGACTCTTGATCTCAGCTCAGGTCACGGTCTCTCAGTTCGTGAGTTTGCGCCCCACATCAGGATTCTCCCCCTCTCTCCCTGCCCCTCCCCAGATCTCTAGCTCTCTTTCTCGCTCTCAAAATAAATAAAACTTTTTAAAAAATTATTTCACACACAATCATACACACAAGTCCCACAGTGTAGAGGGGAGAAGCGTGGCACAGAAGAACACACACTATATTCCATTCGTACTAAGTGGAAATGTGGGTCATACCCATCTATGCAGTCAGGACGGAGGTTGAGGGTGCTTGAGAGTAGACAGTGACTGGTGGGCAGCAGGGGCAGCTTGAGGATGGCCAGTTATCCGGAGCATTCAGTTTGTAAAAGTTCATCAAACCATTTGCTCATATATGTGCTCTTTTCTGCATAGGTTCTATACTAATGAAAGTTTAAAAAGGCAATATTCCTGGAGGTCCTGTACAGGGAGATGGCAGAGAAATGAGACAGGCCAGGGAAGTGGCTAACTCAGCCATCCCGGTGAGGCTCAGCGGGGCCGGGGACTCGGTTGTGTGGCTGACGGTGGTCAGGAGTGGTCAAGTTCATTCTCCCCACCTCCCTCATCACCTGCTCCAAGCCACTGTCCTCTCCCTCCTACGAATGTGTCCTTCAACCCTTGTACCTCCCCCGACTGTAACCCATTCTCCTTCCAGGGCCAGGGGGAGTGCAGAATGGCCCTCCCCTACTTAGAGTCTGAAGCCGCTTCCTGCCCACGTCCCTGCTCTTGTCCTTCTCACCCCCTGCCCTTATTCTGCTGGACCCATTGCTCATCTGCCGAGCCTTTTGCTGAGCCTTAGCTCTTCCCAATCTCCAGAATGTGCTCCCCGGGGATCTTTCCCTTAGCGCTTGGCTTAGCGTTCCGATTCCCATTCTGGAAGGCTGTCCCTCACTACTTAGCCTAAAGCAGCCCTTACCTCCTTTCCTTCCTTAACTATCACATCACCCCGTGTTGCATACTTGAGAGCACTCGTTTCTGCAAATGACTTTGCATCGTGGATTTGAAGTGCCTATCTTACCAACAAGAACATAAGCCCAAGAGCAGGCACTTCACTCTTCCCAGCATCTCCACAAAGCCTGGAGTGACGTGTGCCTGGTATTAACTGCTTAGTAAGCGTTTGCCACGCATGTGGCCGTGGGCTGTAGGACGGTTCTGAGTGGTTTGGCATCTGCCTCCGCCTTCGCTTACCAGCACTTGTCCTTTGCAACCCTATTCCACACCCTGACTTCTAAGGGGCCCTTCCTATATCACCCTTTGTCACCCTACAATGCCTTTCCGTCATCACTGGCCGGGCACACTCCCAGCCATGACTCGGCCTCAAGGGTCTCTCCCCTGGGAAAGCCCTCAAAGAGCCGTCGCCGCTGCCTGCTCTGGTCCCTCCGAGGCGCCAGCCCTACAGGTGCACACAGCCCTGTCACTGGCAGCCGCATGTGGGTTCATGATGAGAAGCTTCGAGGGTCCTCCCTGCGGGGCCAGGTCACGGGGGCCTCAGGGTCTAGGAGGGGGAAGGAGGCGTGCTCCTTAAAGAGCAGAATGCAACCTGGAAAGAACGTGCCGCCCACATAAATGAGGTTCAGATCCTGCGCTCTGGGAGAAGATGAGTCACATAGCCTGCAGCGATCTGGGATGCTCTGGAGAAGAGGAGGTGGCCGAGCAAGGTTTGGAACAAAGGGCAGGGTTGATGTCTTTGTCAGTAGCAGGGAGGGGTGCTAGGCTGGTCATGTGGCACGCACGGAACCATGGAACGTGGGACACACCGAGCAACTCCCCTGCCGCGGGTCTCTCCCAGGATGCCTCAGGCCAGCAAGCTCACAGGCACACAGTCATGTCGCCACTGCCGGGGACAGAATGATGAGTCTCTCTGTCTTGGCCACATATCCTACCCACAGCCCTGTTGACAGAAACTTGAAGAAATTCCTAAAACCGCTTGTCTACACTTTAGATATCATTTCCAAGCATCTTAAAGTATGAAACTGAGGTCATTGGAAATGAGACATTATTTTTCACAAACGAGCGGAGGTTTGCAGAGATGCGTACGAGGCCAAGATAGCCGTGTCCTTACGAATCCCATCAGTGACTCAGAGCTGCAGACGGCAGCTATTAGTTTCAGTGAACGCATCACACTTGTGTAAGTGTGCCCGCTCCTAATTAGTTCCTGGAACCCGGCTGACAAAAGCTTGGGTTCTGAGGGTGGAAAGAAGGCCAGTCCGACTGCGACGATTTGATTAATTCACGCGTTTACTGTTTTCTCTCTCACTCTTGCATTAACACATAAGCCCCACACACAGTAGGCGTACAGAGTGGGTTCTCATTTGTCAGTTGTCAAAATAAAATGATGAAGAGTCAGAAAGAGTCCCTAATTGATGATCATCCGTTATACAAATCACAGACTCTCTACGCCTGTCAAACGAACAGGGAAAAAATAAAATAGCCATCCAACAACCGTTCTGTTTAGGTCTACCTTGCGGAACCTTCCGAGAGGGGTGGTTTGAGAAGTCAGGTGTCAGTCTGCACTCAAGCCAGAGAAATCCAATCCAAGTTTTCTCAACGACGGTTAAAAGGGTATGTTGTGAAATGGAGTCCAGCTTGAAAAATGCTGGATTAACAGGAATTGAAGTGGATCATGAGTTCCAGGATGCTGGGGGTGAAAGCACATTATGAATCCCCAAAGGGGGATAAAGGAAGTTGCCCTCGCAAACACACTGACATCAGAACCTCCGATCCTGTTCAAAGCATCTTGTTGGGTTAATATTTTCTAGAGCGAGCTGGAGTCACACTTAGCCCTGAACTAAGGTAAAAGGCTAGGTTTCATCCGTAACACAAATGCCTCTACGTAATATTAAAACTAAAGCACTCATAACCAAATGTGCTGGCCAATCTCTAGCTCAGAGGGCCTGAGCGGCACAGATGTGAGAGGCTGTCGAATGTAAACATTTGCTTTTGCGGAGGAGGAACGAGTGGCCGACTGGTTTAAGGACCTGCCCAAATTCGGAGCTGTTTGTGGCGGAGCCAGGCTTGACCTCCCGGCCCCCGAGGATTTCCTCTTACCCCACTTCCCAGCTTGGTAGCATCCGTGAGCAATTTCATCCTGAAACAGGCGATAATCCAGAATGAACATGATACACCCGTGTAGAACCTGAGCGGCATCTTGACCCAGACCCTCAGTGGAGTAACTTAACGTCTCTAAATCCGAGTTTCTGCAGGACAATGCTGCAAAAAGTGTTATTGACTATCTATAAAAAGAGCATAACAATATTAATAAGTATTTCATGGAATGGATATAAAAATATTTGGGTAAAACATTCAGCAACAGCTGACTCACAATAAGCAACAAATACTATGTTAATATCATAATAATAGACGTGATATGTAAGGTCATATAGCACATGGGCAGGTGGATAAAGTGACTTAAATTGTGGTAAGATCTCTACACCCTACTTAAAGTGGTAAAATGTTGATATGAGCAGACTGTGATAAAATTGTAATTTAATTGTAAATAACTGTAAATATGTGTATGTCATCCCTAGAGCAACAACCAATAGATAGATACAAATATAGATATATACTCAAAAACATTTTGGAGAAACCAAAACAGAATTCTTTTTTTTTTCTTAAGTAAAGTACCCTAAAGAACGGCAGGAAAGGGGTGCCTGGGCGGCTCACTCGGTTAAGCGTCCGACTTTGGCTCAGGTCATGATCTCATGGTTCATGAGTTTGAGCCTTGCATTAGGCTCTGTGCTGACAGCTCAGAGCCCGGAGTCTACTTCAGATTCTGTGTCTCCCTCTCTCTCTCTGCCTCTCCCCTGCTCATGCTCTGTTTCTCTGTCTCAAAAATAAAATAAAAACACTATAAAAAGATTTTTAAATAAATAAAATTTAAAATATAGAAAAAGATATGCCATGAAGACAGTAGTAAAAAAAAAAAAAAAAAAAAACCTGGAGTGGTTATATTAACCTCAGGTAAAAGGAGACTGCATAGCAAAACAGATTATTAGGGACAGTAAGGGACATCACCAAATGATTACCTGGTCAAGACACAATGAAGACACAACAATCTAAGGTGTATAAACTTAAGGACAGGGCTTCAAATACATTAAGCAAATCACGCAAACTGAAAGGGAAACAAAAAATATATAAAATTATGGTTGGAGATTTAATCCCTCTTATCTGAGTAATCGAAAATTTAGTAGACAGAAAACTGGCAAGGATATAGAAAGACTGAACAAAACCGCAACCAGCTGGCTCTAACTAAAGCATAGCCCTCAAGGGGTGCCACACATATTACTCTCAAACAGGATTACGGAGTACAATCCATTAGCCATATAGCTCACCAGTTTAAAGATTATAACCCAATGGTTTTTAGTATATCCACAGCGTTGTGCAAACCTCAACAGCTTCTAATTCTAGAACAAGTTCCCTAAACATAAAGGACATGTTCAGAGAAGAAGGTTGGAACTAAAGAAAGAACTTCGGAATGAGTAAAAATACATATAAATATAATTGACCATCATTGCCCTCATGAGGTTCTTAAATCATATCTGGGGTTGAAGCTAAACTTACACCATCGTTCAATATGGTGCGTGACACACAGAGGGAAAATACTTAACATGGTCATACTGTAATGATTGGGAGTGTAAAAGGTCCCAGATGAAAGTGGGTTCTTAAAAAAAGAAAGAGAGAAAGAAGACAGAAAAGGAAGGAAGGAAGGAAGGAAGGAAGGAAGGAAGGAAGGAAGGAAGGAAGGAGGTTCTACACCCAAAGTGGTAAAACACCAACATACCAGCAGTCTGTGAGGAGTACACACGAAGAAACTATACCAAGTGATACATCCAAAAAATACTACCAGGAAGTCAAGATGTAAAAAAGTTGTTTGGGTAACCCATGGAAAGGCAAGAAGGGACAACGGAGGAATGAGGGAGACAGAAGACTGAAACAAATAATAAAATGGCAGATTCCAACCCTCCATGTCAATAATCACCTTAGCATTCAAAGATCAGAAGATTAAAAGACACAGATTGACAGAAATATAAGGAACAATAAAGCTTAGAGGCAGGGAAGACACAGATGGATTGTGAGATGTGCAGGATTGACACAGTTGACACTGAACCTAAACGAACCCAAATAGGAGGCAAAACCCAGGCATCTTTATATTAGATTATGTATTTTGAATCCTATCATAAAGGGGACGACAAGCCAGTCCAGGGGTGAGAGAGAGACTTGATCGTATTTATATTTTCAGAGCTACGTGGAGAACGAATTGGAGGATGCAAGAATGGAAGGCCAGCCAGGTGACTGTCATGATAGTTTGTTTCAAGCAAGTGTGAGGCTCAGAACAGGAGGTCTCTGGGACCAGGGGAGGCTGCAGGGTGACAGGCAAGGGACACGATTCAAAGGACACTCAAATGGACAGTGGGCAGAAATTGACTAGTCATTCAATGTGAGCTCCTGATGTAAACACTACTGACAGACTCTCGAATTAGGCTTTCTTTAATCTTCTTCTTCTCTATCTGTTAAGTCATGGATGAAGTCATCCATCTATCGTCTTAGCCTTCCAACTGACTTATCACCGCCCTCTTGAAGAATATATTGTGCACCAGCCCAATCCGGTCCACGCTATGTGAGCTTACACACATGTGCACACACACGCACACACACACACACACACACAGATTTGAAACAAAGATAGAGGAAATAATATTTCATCCTCTCCCTGGGATGCGCTCTGATATTGCTTCTTCATATTTTAATCCATTCCATTCCATTTCTTTCCACGTCAGAGCATTCTAGTATGTTGAATTAAAAACAGTGTTTCAAACCTAAATACATTTCACTATATACTAAACACTAATGACTTTTTATTCATAGTTTGAAAACTCGCCCTAAACGCAATGCCCACATGCTTTATGAACCTCCTTCACCGTGACAGATTGCAATCAACCTGCCAAGTGTTCTCCTGCTATTCCCCCTCCTACTTTCAGAATAAATTGCTTCAGACCTTGAGAGTTTTGACATATTTATAAGGTGGCAGGAGAAAACTGCTACCCAGCCTCCAATGGATTGAAGCATCTTTTCCCTCCAACAAAGATTTTTCACTAATTTCAGCGTGAGGATCACAATGAGGAGACACGCTGCATAAGCAGTGATTCTACAAAGCTACCTCCATGCATGAACAAGGACAATTTCTTCTTCTTCTTCTTAATTCAGCAGTGAACTTTCAAGACATATAATTATGAGGTCTCCAGGCTGTGCTTCACACACCAGCGTTATCTGAGAACGTGTTCTGTGCGACACCCCCTTCCCAGAACACATATAAGTGTCCGAAGGAAAAAAAAGGTTTCTTAGTCAAATTGCTTTGGAAAACGCTGGGCTAAAACTGGATACAGGGGTTTGTTTTACTGAAGGATTTCTTACCGCTTGCGATAGCTACATATAAATTTATAGGTATGATCTTTTCCCTAAATTCTTCATACGACATCTAATTGGAAGTCTGTCCGAATATTTCATGAGCCTCTCAGCTCCGACCTGGACCAAACATATCTCTGAATCTTCCTTCCCTGATATTTGTGATTCACTCCTCGAATTCTTCATGAGTGCTAACACCATTTTCCGGGGACTCGGGTCAAATCATTTAGTTTAATCTCTGACTGACTTCTTTCTGAGATATAGAACTAAAGCAACCGGGGTGCCTGGGTGGCTCAGTTGGTTAAACATCCAACTTCAGCTCGGGTCACGATCTCACAGTTCGTGAGTTCAAGCCCCGCATCAGGCTCTCTGCTGTCAGCACAGAGCCTAGTTGGGATTCCGTTTCCTGTCTGCCCCTCCCTTGCTTGCACATGCCCACGTGCTCTCTCTCAAAAATAAATAAACATTAAAAAAATTTTTTAAACAAAAGCAACCATCAAATCCTGCCATTTCGTACATTCAAAATAAATCCCAAATCCACCCCAGATGAACGCTCCAAATCACCATTGTTCCCAGCCAGCATTATAGGAACTTGTAAAGGCCCCCCCCCCCACCGCCTTGATACACATCTGTCTGTCTGTCTGAGCCCCACTAGGGACTCAGAGTGGATCCAATAATAATGTAAGTCAGTCCCCCCCCCCCGCCCCTCCTTCTCTGATTGAAATCTGCCATTGACTTCTTTTCCTAATTGGATTAAAATTCAAAATCCTTCCCACGGACCTCAAAGACCAATATCATCTGGACCCTTGCTACTTAATTTCTCACTTCACTTCCTACTAATTTCCCCCTCAGCCATTCCTCCTTTCCTGTCCCTCCCGGCCACTGGAGTCTGCATCCGCTTTATCCTGAGCCCATAATACTCTTTTTCCTGATGCTTTTGTGCCTCCCTCCCGACATCATCCCGGGGCTCGCCCATACTCCAGCTGCACCCCCCCCCCCACCTTGAAGGGCATCTAGGCGTACTCTTCACCCCTTTCGTTGGCTTTTTCCTCTCCTGGCACTTAGCACTCCCTCATATCCTGATTTCTTGTGTCTCTGTCCACTTTTTCTTTGCCGTGTCTTCTCAACTAGAATGTGAGCCCCACACGGGCAGGGATCTTAATTTTACTAACAGTCACAATCTCTGCGCCTACAGGTATATCCAGCAGACAACCGGCATTCAGTGGATAAGTGCTGAAAGATGAGCGAATAGGACCATTCGGATGACTTAATATAGCATTTTCTCAACAAACGTGGAAGTTTTGTTTTGTTCTGTTCCCCGGGAGCAGCTCTCTGCTGCCAGAGGCCCTCCTTGGTTACCCCTACCAAGTCCACAGCCTGTATTTCAGACCGAGGTGCAGGATGGGGGCTCTGCAGGGGGGCTGACCTGTGACTTCATCTGTCCCGCATCGACTAACACCACACCTTTCAGTCGATGTCGTCACCCAGTAAAGCACAGAATCTTGCCAAGGACCTTGAGGGAAATTCGTGTTTGATGGCCCTAAGAAAGTGATGAAAATAAATCTGGAAGAAGGGTGTTGATGTACCTTCCTTCTTCCCCGGACATACTTTAGATCACCAGGCTATCTTCAGCACAAAAGAAGGCACCTGGCAGTGAGTTCGCGCTGGGACTTCTGTTCCAGCTCAGGTTACGGACATGGTCACAGTAAACATTCAATGGTGTTAGAGACTGGGGAGTCAGAGGAGCTGGAGAAGCAGGAGGAAAGGGAGAGAAGCAGGGAGGAGGAGGAAGTAAAGGAGAAGGAGGAGAAAAAGAAGGGAGGGTGGGAGGGAGGGAGGAAGGAGGAAGGAGAGAAGGGGATGGAGGGAGAAGAAAGGGGAGGAGGGGGAGGGAGGAGGAATGGGTAGCAGAGAAAGCAAACAGGAAGAAGCCTGAGCCAGATGTGCAGTGACAGCAAGGCAGAAGCTAAGGGAGACGAGAAAGGGGAAGGAGGAGTGAATTCTATCCAGGAAAGGACACAAGAAGACAGAAGACAGACTATAAAGAACCACTTCTTATCTCCGAGGCTCCGTTTCCTGTAAAACCACCACTGTGGTCGTAACGGACTCTCAAACAGACTTTGAGAGGACCCATAAAGAGGGGCACCTGGGTGGCTCAGTCAGTTAAGCGCCTGACTCTGGCTCAGGTCATGACCTCACGGTTCGTGGGTTCGGGCCCATGTCGGGCTCTGCGCGGACAGCTCGGAGCCTGGAGACTGCTTCGGGTTTTGTGTCTCCCTCTCTATGCCCCTCCCCCCATGTCCACTCTGTCTCTCTCTCTCAAAAATAAATAAAACATTTTTAGAAAAGACGACCCATGAGAAGAAGAATCTGCTGATTATCCCCATTTCATGAAACTGGGAAACAGGTGTGGGCTCAGAGGGAAACTGGGAAACTGGGCTCAGAGGTGTGGTTCCTCTCAGGGTACCCCACAGCAGGAGGACGCAGGGACAGGAGGTGAAGTCAGGTCTCTCCATCTGCACAGCCTCCACGCTCAGGAACATCTTGCCATCTTTCTTCCTGTTTCATTAACAATACATTCCCTTGAATGTATTTCCAGAGGTCAAATTATTGTATAGTGAATAGGAAAAATAATAACCAACCAAACGAAACAAATTTCCAGTGGCGAAAACAGAGCTGTGTTATGTCATGGCTAATGTGGCGGAAGGAGAGGACAGAGCAGCAGACAGTTCCAGAACCACCAGGGGGAAGTCTACACTGAAGGGACTGGGACGTCAGAGACCAAGCAGCACGGGGTCTCTTATACAACCACTGCATTTCACTGAAATGATGCTGATGGGGTAACCTGGGTGGCTCAGTCAGCTAAACATCCGACTCTTGGTTTTGTCTCAGGTCACGATCTCACAGCTTTGTGGGTCCGGGCCCCACGTCGGGCTTTGCACTGACAGTGCAGAGCCTGCTTGGGATTCTCTCTCTCTCTGCCCCTCCCCAACTTGCACCGTCTCTGTCTCTCTCAAAATAAATAAACTTAAAAAGCGATGCTCATCACGGCACTACTTCCACCGCTAACAAGGGCAGTGGGTCCTCCCCCTACGAGTCTTTAAGAAAGGCACTTCTCAGACACCAATGGAGCTGCCAGTGCTCACCCTTGGGAAACCAGGGTCTTGTGTGAGGTCGCCCATATCCAGGTCTCGGCGATAACGCTGGCTGTCTCTCCAGCTGGTCTGCCTCCTCCCTGGGAAGCTTTGGAAACGCTGAGTGTGAACACTACAGGTTGGGGTGAGGAGGGCGTGTTCCTGTGTGGCCGCGGGGAGAATGTGTGCAGCAACAGAGAAGAGGAAGAAGTCTCAGACACAGAAGAACCCGACCAAGTCTCGTCCTCCACTTAACATCTGGGGAGAAGGGGATTAACGCACCGAACCCAGTTTTTCATCCTTAAAATGAGAACTACTTTCTCTCCAGGCCGACAAGGGTAGCATAGACACCATGTTCCCTGGTCCCCCTGCTTATCACGACTACAGCCCCTGGACTTCATGTAAGAGGCAACCAAGGGACAATCATGGAAGGTGGCAAGCGGGAGACGAACCAACGTAAGACTCCAAAAAGACAATGAAATAGAAAGCCAGCTCTTCCAAAAATCACACACGGTTGATAGACCTCAGTTAAGATTGACAAAACTAAAGGGGAAAGACACAAATCGCCAATGAAACCGGGCACAGCACTTCTCATTCTCAGCTCGCAGGAGATAATGGAATACTGTGGTAGTGGGTTGACTAGCGTCCCCCAGAAGGTATATGTCCAAGTCCTAACCCTGCGTTCTTATAAATACGGCAAAATATTGGTTTGTGAGTATAATTCATTTCCGGAAACATGCTTGTAATCCAAAGCACTTGTATATCAAAGCGAATTGCCTCGTAAGAAATAAGGAACCTCAGAGGATGTGTTCCACAACCCCAAATTACTCCTACAAAAAAGATTACAATGCTGGAAGATAATACAAAATAATAAAGACAATACAAAATAGAAAGAAAAATTAACAAATTAACCTGCACTTATCTTTGAAAACTTCCACGGCTGGTGTGAGGGAGACAAGAGAGAGGAGGGTTACTGTGTAGGACCACTTTCGCCGTCGCTAAGAGAATCACTGCCATCTATTGGCTCAATGGACTCTCTTTTTTTTCCTGTGCAACTTTAACAAGAAACCTATCCAATGATGCTTTTGCCTCCTTTTGAGGATTTCACAGAAACGTGACACTGCATTGTCGTGAACCAGATTCATCACTCACAATGCTATAGCCTTATTCGGATGGTGCTTTACTACAAAATTTTGCACCGTTTCCCACATTTGACACATCTCCCTAACCTCATCTGAAGCGAGGGATTCCACTGCCTTTTTCTCCTCCTCCTGTGCAGACGAGATGCAGACACAGACTTCTCAGAAAATCTTGTGATTTCGGCTACTCGCATACCTTGTTCGTACTTCTCGATGATTTCCTTCTTGACTTCCACCGTAATCATCTCCTTCTTACCGCCTTTCTTTTCAACCTTTTTCTGCACGGGGGCCGTTGTATCCACTCGCATGGATCTTGAGTACAGTACCATGTTAATAAACTCTGGTCATATACTGTATTTAATGTAACTGGCAACAAGACAACAGAGGAAAGGGTCTACATCTGCAGGCAGCCTGACCTAGAAGGAAGCAAAGCATTCCTAATCTCACTCTTGTACAGAAAAGCAAAGGACTGTCCAGAGGTTCTCTGAAGTGGCAAAAAATAAATAAATAAATAAAATAAAATATACTGGTTCCAGTTGTGGGCACCTTCCAACGTTCCAGAAAATCACTGACTTTTGTCAAATGCTGTGGCCTGGGACTGAGCATTCAAGCATGGGAAATGATCACCCAAGATCCCACAGGGAGAAGGGGGGGAGAGAAAAACCATTGGCTCATTTGTGATCATGTGATACTCAGCATCACGTATTGCTCGTATTGCAAGACATCGCTCGTTTATGAAGTTAAAATTTATTAGAAACGTCTGCACGTCTTGCAGAACATTTGCAGAACAAGTTGCTCTCCACCCAAGGTTTTACTGTACAACCGTCGTTGGAAATAGGATCTTTGCAGGTGTAATTAAGTTAAGGATCTCCAAATGAGTTCACCCTGCATTTGGGGTGGGTCCTAAAGCCGAACACTGGCGTGCTCGTAAGAGAACAGGGGGTGGGATCTGAGACACAGAGAAGTGCAGGAGGTAAGCCACATGCTGACGAAGGCAAGGACTGCGGTTACACAACCACACGCCGATAAGCGCCAACATTGCCTGTGGCCCTGATTTTAGGAAAGAGGATGGAACACACATTTCCTCAAGCCTCCAAAGGAACCAACCTTTCTGACACCCCGGCTTTGGGTTTCTGGCCCCCAGAACTATTAGAGAATCAATTTCTGTTGTTTTAAGTCATTGCGTTTGTGGTCATTTCTTACATCAGATCTGGGAAACGAATATAATTATGAACAAGTTTACGCTTTCACCTTTGACACTTAGAAGAAATGGGATAATTTCTCATAAACCACAAACAAAAATTCAACCGAGATGAAATATTTAATCTTAATAGTCCCACCACAATTAAACCAATTGGGTGTTAATTAATCTAACAATATACAAAAAGAACCCTATAAGATGCCTCCGTGGGGTTTACTCCAGATATGTAAGAGTGGTCTCACATTCAAAACTCCACATGACCCACCATATCAACAGGCCAAAGGAAAAAAATGTCATGATGATTCAAATTGACACAGAAAGGCATCGGACAAGATCCAACACCTCTTTATGATAAAATCCATCAGCAAGTTAGGAACAGAGGTGGATCGCCTGAACTCAATACAGAGAATATGCAAAAATGTACATCTGGTGTGATTCTTAACAGTAAAAGACTGAATCGGTTCCACTAATATTCCAAACAAAGCAAGGTCATCCATTCCCACAACTTATATTCAACATGACTGGAAGCTCTAGCCACTGAGAAAAGGACGAATAAGGAACGAAAATCAGGGTTGCCCGGGTGGCTCAGTCAGTCAAGCGTCTGACTCTTGATTTCAGCTCAGGTCACCATCTCATGGTTCATGACTTCAAGCCCTGCGTCAGGCTCCACGCTGACAGTGAGGAGCCTGCTTGGGATTCTCTTTCTCTCTCTCTCTCTCTCAAAACTAAATAAATAAATTTTTTGAAAAAGGAAAGAAAAAACACAGATGGGAAAGGAAGAAATAAAAACTGTCCTCGTTTACAGATGAGTTCAACAAGGTCGGAGGACTCAAAATCAACATATAAAAATCAATTTAATATCTTTATGCTAGTAAAGCAAATATGGAAAGCAAAGTTAAGACACATGATAAGATTTACAATTGTTCTGGCAAAAACGAAACAGGTATATACATTTATATACAGCCTGGAGGTCACCACTCTGTCCTAACAACACATAAAAAGCTGAAGACATCGAAAAATCCACAACTCTTCTTGGATCCTGAAGCGAGGGGAGGACACTGGACAACCAGCTCCTTCCAAGAACAGACAGATACCAGGAGAA